CATAGATTTCTGTATTTGTTGTCTAGTTTCAAGTTTAACTGAAGGCTGAGCTGTCCTTCAGATCTGCAGCCACGTGAAAATGAGGGACTTTGTGAGGTCAGAGAAACTTTCTGTATGTTCAAGCTCAGGAGAAGGCTGCAGCAACATATGAGGAAACCCAATGGCATTAAGGACCCACTGCAAGAAGCGCTTCAATTGCAGGGACACAATTAACCACAAGACTTAAAGCTGCAGGAAAATGAGCCAGATTATTTCCAGTACTCATGGAAATACTTATTAATCTTGAAAATCTCTGTCATATAAACAGAAACTTTCTGTTCCCAACAGCCAAAATAACTGACTACTGAATACAGTTTATTTGAGCATACCTTAATCACAGTCAAAACGTCATTACACCCACATTCTTCTCTACTTTCATCTAGTCACAAGCAGTACCCGAGTGCCTTATTTATTCGGACTTTTCTTCTGTCACTGAATCCATGATATCCCACCAAAAAAAAAAAAAAAAAAGCCAGATGATTTTACAGTGCCACATGTTAGCAGATTATTGCAACCAGAACAAATGCAGCCTGGGAGACTCACTTTTGTGGGCAGGCGAAGTCTAATGCGACAAACTACTCGCAGGCTTTTGAAATATAAGAAAGGAGACGTTTTCCTCATTTGTACTCAAGATTTTCAATTCTAACCCAATTTCGGTTCATGGAAAAAACTCTCAATCAATCTCCATAACATATGTTCTGGCCTTCCTCACACAACACAAACTATTATTATAGAAACAGGGAACATTATCTGCTTCTCCACTAATACTTAATGAAGTTTCCATCATTGAGAGCAACAACTTGTTCTGTCCAAATGATTATGAGAGCAAGAACTAAGAAGAAGTGAATATTGACAACAGATTTTGTAAGCACTTCAGCGTACAGTCAGCAGCTCAAGTATGCACCCCAGAGTTTATGATAATGAACATGCCTAGCTCTCAGGTCAGATGGGTCAAAAAAAAAAAAAAAAAAAACAACTTAGGGACTTAGAAACTTCTCCAATGATCAAATGCCATATCTATTTCCCAACCCCTAATTTTTTATTTTGCTCACAACTTACTGGTTGTGTACAGGACAGGGTTGGGGGAAGGGGGTGTTTTAAACAATTATCTATATTATAATAATAAATATCAGAACATTTTTTTCTCTAGCTGTAAGCAAAAAAGATAAACAATTTCTTCTTTTACTTTTCAACCAACTACCCAAAAGAGGACCAAAGAACTATCAAGTCTATCAGTATGTGCAATAAACATGTAAAGATCATGTCAGAATTTGGGTGACTGTAGAACAATGCACTGTTCTTATGACACAATTTTCCAAACCTCCCAAAGAACACAGAACTAATTTAGTTTGGTGTTTCAATTTAGAAATGTTTCAAATTAGAAACATCTTTCTTACCGAAATAAGAAAATACACTGAAACCAATACAACTACTCACATGAATATGCAGAGCAAGATTTAGACTCCACTCTTTTTGTCCTGTATGAATTATCCATCACATTTCTATTGTACATTATTAAAGTGACTTGCTTTTTCATCCTCCCAACCCCCACATCTGTGCTGCTGTAATTTACGTGAATTGCAGTTAATGATCACTCTCTTTATGCTTAATCAGCATATCAATAATATACTCTGCACAGACTAAGTAGCTCTTCTTTCTTCCCCCTTTAATGAAACCTATAGAAATGGAGCTGGTATTTGACTGATTGGCATTACAAAAAGGTTGCCTAGGCAGGTGCTGAAGATGGTAGCAGAGGATACAGGCCTTCTGGCTGCTGCCAATCACACTTGAGCATCAGCAAAGCCAACTATTATATTTTTAATTCAGTTGCCTTGCTATCTAGAGGGGATGGTGTTTTGTACTTAAGAGATTTTAATAAGCTTGACCAGATCAGCATTCCTGACGCCAAGGCTGCGGCTGCATGGGATGATTCAAGGAGAGATCACATTCTTACAGGGTGATATTACTAACCATAGTCTAAAACACTGCCGCCAGAGGGTTCTTATGTGGGACACAAAAATCGTTGAATACAAATGAGCTATGAACCTTAACATGAATATTCAGGAATTTCTGGAAAGCTATTATTATATATGCCCAAATCAAATCAGACTTAAAAGAAGAAAGAATAGCCATTGAATGCTGAAAGTGACAACCAACCAGTTTGGATCACTTTGCTAGAAATCAAAATCATGTATAGATCAGATAAAAACGACTAGCCTTCTAACAGGCATATTAAACACTTCAGATAAATTATTTTTACCAAATTTCTGTAAGTCACACTCCTTCATACATTGACATTTTTTACTTCAGATGAGAATGCTGCTGCACACTGAAGAAGAATTGGCACAGCACCAGTACACTCATTTGTGAATCACAGCCTCAAGTGTAGCTCTATTAACTTTACCCTGTAAATCACCACTATGCTATTAGCAATCTTTCAGCGTGATGTGACATCTTTATTATAATGTTTTTCCACTAAAGTTTAAGTTCATATTTTAGTTAGCTCAGAGACAGATGCAGCCATATTTACCAGGTTTAATTAATTGACTATAAATAATGGGCTGTAAAAAGAAAAGATCCCTCTTTCATACGTTCAAGTTGTCACCATTTTACAGAAATATTCGAATAGGGTATTCAGTAGGATACATAGCAGTATTTTCACGCTTTACATTGATGTTTCAATAGGTGATCTTACAATTTCACAGCACTTTGAAGGGCACACTTCAAAGAGCCTTAGTTCTTCTACAAAAACACTCACAGTGCACAATCTACATTAATTTACTATGTGATTTTTAACAAGGAATTTCACTACCTTCTAAGGACATCAGTAAAATTCCATTATTTAGTTTGGCTTCAGTGTATATGGATATTACAGTAAGTAAGAACAGCATGCACAGTCAAGAACAAGTTTTGCTAGAATTACCTGACACAAACTTGCAGAGGCTAATAAAATTGTTTTGAGAGATCAGGAGGCTCTTTCTGATGGGGGTAATGCAGCACATCTGTTTTTCTTACAGCCCTCAAGATACCTCAATTCCCTACCAACTGCTTTAGGCACTCAAGGCAAGAGAGGCACAGCTACAGGGAGCAGAGCAGTAGATCTGCACAGCTGCAAGACAAACAGAGCAGAGTAAAGCAGAGAAGTGCAGGGCAGCTGAGTGAGAAACAAAAAAAAAACCTCAGAGAAAAAAAAAAGTTAAGACAAGAAAGGTTGATAAACTGTGGAGCTTGAAAATTGTTGGAGAGTTCCCTCTTGGACATCCTGTTTATAAACGTTTCTCGTTGGGAAAAGTCAGCAGGAACAGCCACTAGAAAGAAACTTGAACCCTCTTCCCCATGAGAATGGAACAATTTGTTCAGAGACACAGCAAGAGATGTGTAAACTCCAACAGTAAACCAAGACTTCATTCTTAGGTACTGCTAGATACCTGTATAATAGTTAATAACCAAGAAGGCACTACTTCAGTTTTAAAAACTGAATCCCACCCTCATCATGACTAGAAACAATGTCTCCCAAAGACTTACAAGCAGCAGTACACCCTGACAGAGGTTAATTTGTAGAGCAGGAGACAAAGGCAGAAAGACACGCAAAAGCTTCTAGGAGTCATCATTTAAAGATAGAGGACTGAAATAAGACTAGCAGAAGAAGAAGGAACCAAAGCACCACCATGTGTGGCACTGTTCAAGTTACGGAGAAGAAAGAGAAGGAGCTGCAGGTCTTGGAACGCATTCTTTCAGAGAAGGCTTGAAAGCACAGCCTTTTCTAAGGGCAAGGGAAGATTCAGGCATTAAGGCTTCAGTGTACCAGGTAGGCTTTTTTGGTCAGGAGACAAAATGCAGCAACTTGGGAGTCTCCTTCAATATCTGCACCATGCAATGTAGAAAAAAAAGAATACACACCAGAACACATATACATTTCACAGCAACACAGCAAGTTGAGGAGTGACCAAATAACAGTGCCACCAGACAGCTAGGCAATGACATTAAGCTGGCAAAAAATGGTGGCAAACGCTGTCTTAAAGTAATAGCATTAGAAAACATTAAAGCACAGATTATTTAAAACTGCACTAATCCAGACAGAACGCATGGTTTCACTGAACCTGGATACAAAGTAAACACACAATCAACAAATGTACAATTAGCAGAGTGGCATGGATAGACCAGTGTTTTACAAGTCATATAACTAGAAAGATGATCACAGTGAAGAGAAGAAATAATCAAAAATAAATGAAATGCTCACCTGTTTCCCAGGCTTACAGTAAAAAATTCCAAAGGGAGCAATCTCCAGAAAGAGATCCTTCCCCCCTGGCAGTCAGCTCTTAAATGGGTCTAAGAGAGGTGCAGCCAGGCTCCACCCTTTCTGGTCACACAGCTGAATTGCCTTCACCTGTGCTCCCAGGGCTGACTCCGTGCTTGCCTCAGGTGATCAATCAGTGGTTCAGGCCGTGACTCAACAGTTCCCATACAGTACATAAAAAGAAACTCTCAAGAATATGATTTCTTTGATAACATTATAACTAATAAATAACAATACCTGAAAAATTCAGCGCAGACTTTACCAAATGAGTTCTTGTATCACACAGTTATTATTCAACCTTCCCCCATTTCCATGTGACAAAATCATCAAAGCACTATTATAAAACAGTTCTGTGGTATCTCTTAGAAATATGCATTGCAATAGAAGAAGGAGTGGTGCTTAAACACAGGTTTGTTCTTTCTGTTGTTCAGAGAACATTTTCTTTAATAAACTCTTCATGGGGATTATACACAGTGTGTGATATATATTGTAGAGAAAAGGCTCCATAACTTTATAAACAATACATTTCAAGTTTAGAGCAGACTATTTTTGAAGCTCCAAAGAACTGCAGCTATTGCACAGTGTCCTCTGAAGAGGAAACAATGGTTAAATAGCACATTGGTCCGCAGAAGCACTTTTCCATTTCACAGTCTAGTGAACTCACCCCATGTGATGGGTAGGAGATCCAGCCCAGCTCCCCTTGAATTGTTTTTGAATCCAGCAGATTAACTACAAAAAAGACAAAATGAAGAAGAATGAGTTTCATTTGCCTCTGTCCAGTTAACCTCAGTTACTTTTACTAAAAGATGTGTTTATTTGAGGATCTTGTGAAGCAGTTGATTTGTTCAGGTGGCCTGGCAGATAGCTACAAAGAAGAAAAAGACAGACAAATGAAAAGGATTGCCTTGTTTATCTTAAAACATGGTATGAACAGCAGACACAGGAACTTTTCAAAACAAAAAAGTGACAAAAATAAACAGCGGATCTTTGTCCAAATTAATTACAGCAGGGGGTGGGAACAGAGCGGTTCCATCAGCTGCACAAACTACAGGGTTTCCCCCTCGGATGGATAAAATTTGGGTCAATGCATCTCAGTATGCATGTGAGATCTGAATATTTTAATCATTATTTGATTAAAGGCCCATATTTGGCATAAATAATATTCTCAGAAAAAAAGAATAAATAATGAATGCAGATTAAAGTCTTTCCCTTAAGCTCTTTCTTCCTTCTTATCTAATTTGTTCTCAAATTGTCTTGTAGTAGTGAACTGTTTTCTGAATGTCAAGTTTAGCACCTTAAATGCAAAAATAATTATTTACAATGTTTCAAGTTCAGACAAAGCAACTTACGGAGTGCCATCAATTAATCACCATTATCTTTTTTGTTATTATTATTTGATTTTATTAGATTTTATTTGCAAGCAATCCAAAATAGACTTTTTCCAGCCCATCTAATCACAATGTTTTAAAATCTGTTTTAAAACATGACAAGTAAAAAAAACAAACAAAATATGGTGAAGGATATTCTTTGCTGTTTACTTATTTTTTCACAAGCACAAAGATAAATTCCATTACAGTTCCCTAGATAACCATTTATTCATTCACATGAAGCAGAACAGGTGCACAGAAACATAAAGAATCTCTACAAAAATACAAGCCAGTGAAGTATTTGTATAAAACACAACATTTTTCATGATTGCACTAATTAGTGCACCTTCAATATTTATTATCTGCAATTTGGACCCATTTTTTCTTTGCTGATTTGGCTTCTTTTTCTTTCAAAATGGAAATTACAGGCAACAAGGAAAGAAATCCCACCATACTCAAGGGAATTTTAACATCTGAGCATGATAGTTCTGCTAGAGGTGGCCACTCTAACGGCCTAAGCAGCTTCAGCTCCTACTGACAACAACGACCCTTCTCCTGACAACCCTGAAGGGTTGACACTGTTCCCAGAACCAGATGGTCTGGGTATTGGTGCTAAAGGAAAATAGGACTAGGACTAGGACTAGGTGCAAAAAGAATAGGACTGGAAAAGAAAAATGAGGCCAATTAACTATGAATCTGCTAAGTTGACCAATTTGTATCCTACGTGTATTATTTTGGCATTTTTCTTCTACTGGTTGTTTAATTTTGGTTATCACTTAAAAAAATAAAAAGCTTTTTTTTTTCCTGTTATTGAGATGTACAACAAAATACACAGTAGGAAAATACAGCAGACATACAGTACTAGAAATCAGACCATGTCATCAACAATCATAAATACATGCATTTGTCTGTGTATGTGAAGGTACCATATGTATATTTTCAGTGCTACACTACCATAAATGAGCTCTCTTCCATCCAAGTGAGGGAAAAATATTTTCCCTGCAGTAATACACCACTTTAAAAGAAAACAATGGTATTTTGATTTTCTACCTATATCAGTAAGCAAAACATCTTTATAAGCTTACAGAAATAGCATAACACAACATCATATATTTCTTTAGCTCTTATTTTTATTAATCATTAAATTCTTAATCATCTACACAAAGAAATAAATCAGTCAGTCTCATGTTGAGCGTGCAGGGCCCAAGGCAGACGTCTCTGAAGCAGGGTTTGCATCTCTAAAAAGGAAACACTAATAAGAATTCAAAAGGAAAAAGTGCAGTTCTTGCTTTTGTGACTACAAAATCCCACATATTGTGGATCTCCTGGGACAAGATGCTGTGCATCCGAAATACATGGTGATGAAGGAAGTATGACTTCTGAGGTAAATTACTTGGCAGGAAGTTGCTCACTCAAATCACTCAGGAGTAAACTTAAGTAATATATTTATTCGTTAAGAATGAGCTCCTTGAAAACATGATTGCAGCCACTCTGGAATTTATGAATTCAGTCCAAATTCATCAATCTCATCTGGAAAACTACACAGGGAATTGTGCCACACCCTGGTGGTGGTTTTCCTCTCCAGACTTACCAACCAGCCTAGCAGAGAGAGCATGCCCTCAAGGTGCAGATCAGCACTCAGCATCACTGCCCACATCTCTCTGTGCCCCGGCAATGTCAACTCCCTGCTGCTCTCTGAGAAGGTTCAGCAGATTGCCAAGTACTCCTGCATGAAGTACCCGCAGGCAGCAGCATAAGGACATGGGTGCCATTCAGTATTCAGTGTGCCCACAAAAGGACTGTGTTGGTCTAATGCCAATAGGTAGCAAAACTCCAGCATGGGCCCCACTACAGCTGGATGCCCCAGCTACAGGTTCAGAGAGCAGATATCTGTCACCGCACTCTACCATCCCTCTAACAGGTGAAGCTTATAGAGCAAGCAAAATAGACCTATGACAAACACCCATGCCAGCACACTTTCAGTTAAGAAAGTTTGTAAACCAGAAAACAAAGTTCAGGCTTTTTCTCATCACGATTAAGGGCAAGAATTTTAACTAGTTTGTTTTCTAGCAAAGTAAATGAATCAGTAAGAGATCTCCCTCAGTCCTCCATCCTGATGTTGTACCTGGGATCTGAGCTTTGAGAGCAAGAACAATTTTTCAGAGTATCTCCTTCATTCCACTTTCCTCAACTTGTTCCAATTGGCACCACTATGCAAACGATATGTACATGTTCATAGAGTCATAGAATGGCCTGGGTTGAAAAGGACCACAATGATCATCTAGTTTCAATCCCCCTGCTATGTGCAGGGTCACCAACCAGCAGACCAGGCTGCCCAGAGCCACATCCAGCCTGGCCTTGAATGCCTCCAGGGATGGGGCATCCACAGCCTCCTTGGGCAACCTGTTCCAGTGTATCACCAACCTCTGTGTGGAAAACTTCCTCCTTATCTAACTTCCTCCTAATATCTAACCTCAACCTCCCTGTCTCAGTTTTAAAACCATTCCCCCTTGTCTTATCACTATCCACCCTCGTAAACAGTTGTTCTCCCTCTGTTTTTACGCTCCTTTCAAATACTGGAAGGCTACAATGAGATCTCCCCAGAGCCTTCTCTTCTCCAATATATCTTCATATATACTTCACTACATTGTAGAAATATTGCTTTCACACTGACCACAACAGGCCTGTGATTCAGATGTGAGTCAAAGAATCCAAGTAGATACCTAAAAAGAGTGGCATGAATATTCCCTATAGTGACAAAAATCAAAGCAGAGCTATGCTCCAGACACACTAATTTTGTAAATAAGTACTTTTGTGCTGAACATACTTATCTGCTTTCATACTGGAGTCTTCAATTTCCTCAACCATTTTTATTTGTATGAGAAGGAAAAAAACTAGCCATGCCAAGTAATTATTTAGTATGTAGTAGAATAAAACAATGTTGTGCACAAACACCTATCTAGCCACATGGTCTTCAGTGATTAAAACGACTGCTATTTCCTGTTCTTTGGGGGATTTATTTATTTGCTCACTTCATGACATGTCAAGTAATAAAAGAAAAGAAAAAGACTCAGAGAGGGAAGACATCATTATATCGACCCTCTAGATATCTGTCACTGCCTGGTATCTTTACCACTGGTCTCATAAGAATCATATTATATGCAAGCAGAAACACACAGCAGGCTGCCTGAGTGCTCAAATTCTTTAGAATCCAACTGAAATTCATAAATACGATATGTTTTCTTTTATTAAAAAATCTGGTATCTAGAATGCAAAATACATTTATTTTTTAAGTAGTTATCCAGAGAAATGTCCCTTCCCTCCTCCCCCCCACCAAAAAAAAGTTTCTGTGACACTGTTTTCCTCTGAGTTCAGGAGAGAGTTGAAGAGCTTGACAGCGATTAGTACAGACCTTACAGGCTGCAATGATCACGGTCCAAAGGCAAAACGATAGGGAATAGTAAAGCATTACTTTTTGTCATTATGAGGCCTTAAAATCGCCTATCATTCTAGAAACTGAAGGAGAAAATAACATTTCCCTGCATTGAGACTGAAGAGCTACAGAAGTAGAAAAAAGGTGGAAAAAGGGGAAAATCACAAAATACAAAAGCAACTGATTCATGTAATGATTACTCATTTCAGTGTGTTTCAACTCTGCAACAAAAGGCAATATTTGATTCACAAGACTGACCTGACCAATTCACAGAGTGTAATGCAGAGGGATGCGAAATCAGATCAACATCAGCAGGCATTTACCAGCACGATCCTAACAGACTTTTCCACACACAATTAAAGTTAAATGAAAACTGATATTTACACGTAGCATAATTGGTAGTAGCCATATCTTTAAAAGACACAACTAGAGAGAAGAGAGTTCTGGCTTCCCTCTCCCTCAACACTCTCCTCTCCAAGATGTGTACCTTCAGCATGACATTACTTGTAGGGCTTAGAAAAGGCCCTTAAAAAAAAGAAAAGATCAGTACTGAGTGCTGCCCTGCAGCCTGGTTCCCCATAGCACACACTGCAGCTGCTACTGCCAAGCAACAGCATACCGGGCAAAACATCTATTGAGAACATGTGCTCTCCCTCTCCTGCCTGACTATTCTGGCCCTCAGAGCTCACAGCTTCACTAGAAAGCATTTCTACTTCCCTCAACGTGCATTTGTGCCAAAATGACTGCCTTCCTTCCCGCAGCTGGAGCAGACACTTGGATGTGAGATGCAGAGTTCACTCACTCCCTTCACCGTGGCATCATGAAGAGGATGAATGAGGGCTGGAGTGGAATCTGACGTGCAGGCCTGCTCACACTATCAGGAATTGCTTCCAGTCTGAGAGTGATGGCAGAGGGCCTGACTCCAGGCT